TTCCAGCAAAGACATTGCATTTGTGTTCAGTTTTCTTGTGATCTTGAGACAAATTTCTGCACACCAAAATTTGTTAACGTCCTGTTGGTCCTCTTACGTGTACATTCATTTTAGAGCCAAAATTCAACGTTCATTTAGTAGACTTGCTATGTTCAAACACTGTAAAGAGTACGAGTCATCTCGGAGTTAGAAGATATATAGAATTCTATAGTTTAGGGTCCTTATTAATTATTGATGAACGCTTTTTGTCAGAACAGTTATTAATCTTTTATTTTGGGGACCTGTGAAAAATGGAAGAGTGTGCAAACTGCATCCTTCTATAAAACCAGTACAAGGGCCAAATACCCAGCTTCTTTTACCGAAATAAAATGTGTGGGTAATTCTGTGATTTTCTGAGCAGCAGTTATTAACAAATGGTGGTAAATATTTAAGCCGTGTTTCTTAATAATTTATCTTTTCAGTGTAAAATCTTTTGGAGATTAAGTAGTAATGACAAGTGGTAAATGTTTGTATCTTGTGAAGTCATTACCACATCATTGTGTGATAACCTCTCAAAAATATCAAGAATTGTTTCATCTGTCAAATATCCAGCCACTGTTCCATTATAGTCCAGCGTGGCTGTCTGTGTTATGGTACTAAGTTTACTTCAGTGACAGAATGTAGCAGAATTAAAAAACAAAACAAACAAACAAACAAAAAAAGGGCAATTTTTGAGCTTTTCACCAGAATTTACTTAAAATTCACGAGGTTCATATTACTTTGCTTGAACTTGCTTGCTGTTTGTTATTGAGACTCTCTTTTGATGAAGTGTCAGGATCTCTGGATTCACCTGTTGGTAACAACACAAGTTGTTGCCTCCGAATACAATTTTGGGGAGAGAATCTGAATTCATCTTTAAATACTGTGCTGTCATACAGAGTGAGTGCAGCTCACTGTTTACACTGGGGCTTGCCCCAGTACTAACAGTGTTTGTAAATAGCATTTTAGGTAATGAAACTCATGTAGGATTCAGTGTATTAACTCTTTATTAAATGTTTAAAAATAAAACCAGGGATGGGATTATACTGGCAGAATGTAAAGGTGAAGAAGTTAAATATGGCCCTCTACCAAAATATAATATATCTGAAAGGAGACATGGTCATAAAATACCTTATTTTCAATGCAGTATATAACTCAGTATTAAAAATCTGTGAATGTGTTGATCAGAATACAAATGCAAATATATGCAAAAAACCTATGTAATTGAAGAGCTTAGTGTATTTATATATGCTAGTATTTAGTATTTATTATTAAATGCATATGTATTTATGTATCTATATATGCTAGTTGGATCTCATAGAAGATCTTTAGCATGAGGCTCTTATTTTCCTTTTACATTCTGAGGTTGTTTATACGTACTGTGTAGAAAAGTTGAAGCTGTTCTAACAAAAATTTCCATTCTTTGACTTTTTTTTTACTTAGGCAGTGCAAAGACTGAGAATTTAAATATTTTTTATTACCCGAATTTTGTGTGGTTTTTAATTTCCTTAGAAACTGCCAGAATGAGAGGGTGTATTTGGGTGTTAGAAAAAATTTGACAGGAAATCAGAGGAGAACTAGAAATTAGAGCAGAGTAGAAAAGACGGATTTTTTTCCTAATACGGAATCCAGATGAACCAAGATTGGCTTGATTAATAGTAGTAATGATAAAATTGTGGTACATTAAGAACTCAATCCAGTAGAAACACACAATATTAATTTTGGGATGTAAGTTTGAGCACACGGGCTATCCGTGTGTTTGTGTTGGTGGAACACGATGCTTTATACTCAGACACAGAAGATGAGACATTTTGAACTGCTTTATTTGTAAATAAGTATTTTTAAACGTGCACAAAGAATCACTCAGAGCTACGTACATTCTGAAAATTAATTAGTAGGACAAAGCAATCTTCTTCCATAATTGCCCTTCCCAAAAGCTGGTTAAATGTGTGGATGGTTCCCACCTACATATCCACATCATTTTCTTGACGTGTTTTGAAAGTGCAATTTGGTTGAGCCCCAAATATTGCGAGTTTGCACTTAAAAGAAAATGTCTGTCTGAAACAGTAGCACAAAGTAAGATATAGAATGGATGCCCAGCCCAGCCCAACCTGCACGACAGGGTTGCTACCATGTTGTTAGAATAATTATATTTTGGCTGAACTAACTAATTTAGAAAAACTGCAGTACATCTAGCAGGACTGAAAACTTTCCAAGACTGGGATGGGGTTTTTTGGTGATTTGTTTTGTTTTGTTTTGTTTTTTTTCATTTTTAGTATAATTTAAAACAATGCCTCTTCTAGCTGCCAACAAACTCTTTCCCTGAATCTCACCATTCCTGGCTTCCCTCCTAACCATGTCCTGGCTCACCTCCAGAGCTGCCAAGTTTATGCCAGAAGCAGGAGGTGGATTTGTATGGGGCTGGAGGAAGATCTGGAGCTCTGTGAAATTTTCGAGCCCAGATGGGGCAACATGATTTGTGTGTTTATGTCAGTGTGCCATACATCACAACTATCTGTGTGCTGACGTCAGCTTTGATTGGGCATTAATGTGCTGAACGCTGCAAACTAGAAAATACATGATAGATACGGATCTATGGCAACAATGCCACATAAGCAAATGTCTCTTTGGTGTGGCGATCCTCTGTGCAAAATATTTCCCAAGATCCACTGCATTAAGCCAGGGGAATATTTGGACACGCTTTAAAAACAAAAACAAAATCAACGTGGGCAAAGGGAGCGCAATTTAAGAAGGCAAAGCCTTTCAGAGGAAGAGCTGAAACCAACGTAGGAAAGTGGGTATTGTCAGGCAAATAATGAACTGCTGTCCCTTGCTGCAATCTTTCCAGAATTAAAACCAAGTAGGAAGGATGATATTCTTATGCTTTGCAGGACTATCAGTGGTGAGGATACGTTGCTGATGGTAGAGCATCTTTCTATCCACAGTTTTTATAACCCATTGTTATAAAACAGTGCAAAAACATTAATGCACAGCAAAACAATAATGGACGGCAAAAGTGTTTTTTTCAAATGAAGGAATATTTTTTCTTTATCAAGATTTTAGCTTAGTTTCCAGGAATCATTGGTGTTTGTTTATTTTTTTAACAGTTTTGCCGTTCTTGATATACAAATAACATCCTGCAGCCTTCTGAAGAACTGGCAAAATACTGTCATTTCTGGTCTGTGGATTTATAGAGGTCACTGCCTACTTCAGATTTGTATCTATACCATCTTTATGTGATTCCCCTTCAGAATAATGTGACCAAAAGTTTCCACTGAAATACAGTACATTGTCTCTCCCTTCCTAGAGGAGGAAATAATTTGCCAGTCAGCTTTAATATTTCAGGGGCAGATATAATAACAAACTCTAGGGATTGATGTGTAGGCAGTGTTCTTTTCTCTCAGATCCCTTGTGCTATTCCTCAGCAAGGAAATTCTGTAGTATAACAACTACTTTATCGTTATTCCTCGTTAGACTTGGTGGGTAAAATGGAAGTTCCCTGATTCCACGGGGATGGATGGTTTTGGCCTGTGCACAAGTAGCAGCTTTGAAAAGAGACCCCTCCCCAGGATTTGATGCCATCTGGCCCATAAGGTGGGGAAGGGAGGGGGTGTAAAGGTGCCATGGGATCAGTGGAATTAGGCCTTGTAACCTGAGCAGATTGGGCTGTGCAGGACAGGCCACAACTTCACGCAGTGGTCAGAAAGCAGAATTCAGTTTGCTCTTTGATGGGAGCGGGAAATTTTCACCTTTCACGTCTGCTTTGTGAGCTTTGCTGTGGCTGGAAGATACAGGGATTTTGAAATGTGGGTTCAGGAAAGCAGTTGGTGCATTGATCACCATTTTACTAAACCTGAATGTCAGGGCAGTTCTAACGTATCTGGGGATATTTCCCTCTCTCTGCTCCTAATTGATAAATTGTTACTATCAAATAATTTTACATTGACCTTTCAGAATAAGCACCAGTAGTATAGTTTACAAAAGAAGTGCAAAATGTACAAAATACTTCTAAATTAATAAAAAATTACAAAACTATGACTTGGAGGTACAGAGCTAATTCCTCATGCTTGGAATGGGAATTTTTGAGGTGATTAGTCTTAATACCCCTGTAGGTATGATGAGTATAACACCTACAGCCACCAAGAACCAGAGGATACCAGGCAGCTTTAGGATAACTGCTTCTTATCTTAAGAAATATTTTGCTTTTTAGCACAGATTTGTTTCTTCTTTTTTTTTTCCCTCATAAAATACAGACATCAGCAGAGCATTTAAGAACATTTTTCCTGACTTACCTCTGAAGATCTCTGTTGTGACCTTTGAATGTCTCTGTCTGCTATGTGAAATTAAGGAAAGAAAACTGTGTGGGGAGCAGCTTAATTAAGGCACGTGACAGTCCACTGTTGCACAAGAAATAAGGCATCACTTACAAATCACAAACATATTGAGAAATTATAGAAATACAGATTTGTAAAGATAAAGAGGAACTTTTGGAAAGAAAAACGCTGGAGGATTTCTTGAGTTTTTCCATGTTGTCTGACTGATGACCAAAATGAATAATTGTGTGGGTTGTGCTTGCTCAAAATATGATATGCCTAAGTTATGTGTTGAACAGCAAGGTTTACAGAACACAAACAAAAACTGGGCATCTGACTCGTGGTGGAGGTCAATGAGAGACAAGCTTAACATATTGCTTTTTAAGTATCACTGATGTGAGCAAATGCTTCTGTTATGAAGGCTTAGGGAAATGCAAATTTAGTGCCAGGTTAGCCCTTTTATGGTTTCTCCCTGTCAAATATGCGTTTTCTTTAATCAGAAATTTCAAGCCTTTTTATTTTTTAAAGAATAAAGGCCCTCCAAGGTAATTCCTAAGTATTGATGACCTATTTTTTCCCCACAGTTTGCCATTGAGAAGAACTTACTCCATGAACATTAATTACCTTTTTCCTCACATAGGACGTGTATTTTGTTCCCGTGTCTTACAGAATAAAGCAATTATGGAACGTGTAACAAACTTGTCAGATCTGGTGGTTGGTCTTGAATCATTTATTGGCTCTGAGAGAGAAACCAATCCATTGTACAAGGATTACCACGGTAAGTTCCATCTTTTTAGCAATGCAAAGAGTCTGCCCCGAGCGTTTCTAGGGTGCGCTTAGTGGCTTCCCCTCCAACTGGGTATCTGCTCGAAAGCAGCGTTCGATTTGGGTTTGGAATATTACCTCTTAAACGTTCCTCCTTGCCCAACCAGCCTGGAGTTGGGGAAATATTCAGCAGAAGTGCATTAAGGCTGCAAAGGAAACATGGCAAACTCCTTGCATGTTGTCAAGCCGCATTACCGAGGCACGGCTCAATCAGATGGACATCTCAACAGGCAGGCTTTGGGGAATTCACATGCAGGGGAGGCTTGGCAATCATCTGACCAGCGAGCTGAACTTGTCATGAAATCAATACTTTTGATCTGCCAAGTTTTAAGTAGAGAACAGGGGAAAAACATATATTATGGGGAGGTGGATAAACTGCTAAATTGTGTGCTGTGTGAGCCGTGCCTAAAAATGACGTTCTGCTTTTGTCAGCCGTGAGTTGCAGCACTTGTGCATTTAAAGAAATTAATGCCTAAAATATGGAACTGATTTTGGTAAAAAGTCGTGTGACCTTTCAGGTGTTTTATCTTCAAAATGTTGTAATGGTGTTTAATCTTGCCTTCTGTTTCCCAGAGGTTTTTTTGTTAGCTGTGGCAGCAGAACTATTTCTATTTTAAAGATTAATATTGGAAGTTATGCGTAGCCAAAGCAGTGAGTAACAGTTTTAGCTAATCCAGAGCAGTGTTGGGAGTGTGCATAAATTACAGCTATTATTACTGTGATACTACTGTAGTTCCATGGAAACCTTCAGCTGAAAGTAAACTGCTTATCCCAAACCTGCTGTAAACATGTGAGAGTGTGGCAGTGTTTTCCATGGCAGAATATATAGAATATATGGAAAGAGAAGCAAAGGGTGGTGTTGAGACACCACTGTGTGTATGCAGGCTGTAATTAGTAAATCAGAGAAAAATCTTTCTGGCTGTGAAAATAGTGCACATTTCATCATCTGGAAAAAAAAAGGTGAATGAAAAAGAAACCGTGAACAAAAGCTGGAATAATTTGCCTAATTATTTTTCCAACTGTATAATCGTGATATGGCCTTTGTTTATGCTAACATAATTCTGTCAATTTGATACTCCTTTTCCCAGGACTGAAGAGATCCTTTAAGACAATGTGTGTTTTAGCAGTTATTTCCTGGTTTCCTATAAAGATGGATGCTAAGTCATTTTTGGCCCTATTTAATAAAAATTGTGTGCCAATATACATAGCTTTTGAGGCTTAAACAACCTTAATTTGATGGCCTAAAAAGAGGCATTTTTTAGCAGTTTTAACTTCGTGGGTTTCTCTTTGCTTGAGAATATCTTTTAAGATGATTTATTTACTGCAGATGATGAAAGATTTTGACATGACTCAGGAGAAGTTTGATTACAATATTGCATTATTTAATGAATCCTGCATTAATAATTTTATTAAGCTGCCTGCAAATTTAAGTGTTTGAAAAGCCAGTAAAATAACAAAATAATTATACAGAAGATCCTTAAATAAATTTTCTGCAATACTGCATATAAAGCAACCCTGTGTTATACTTGCTGTTCCTATATATAATAATTAGATTTTCTGCTCAGAAGCCTAACAAATAATTCTTCTGAATCTCTGGACTGGAGGCCGAGATAGAAGGTTTCAAATCATAAAAATGCTTTTCTAATATTGTTAAGAATTTTTGCAATTAGTGCCCATAAAATTATGCTTTTTAAATTATTTCAGTTTCAGGAAACTGCAGTTTAAAAAAAAAATAAATAAATCGATGCCTGAAAAAATACTGGCCTTAATTTAAATATGGGTTTTAATGTTTGGGGGTTTTCCCACAGCTGCTGTTTTCAAGCAAGATACCTTTTCTAAATGTTCACTATTTCCATTTAGACTCTGGCTTTATGAATAGCAAATATAGGCCAGTAATTGAGAAGCCCTGTAGAATTTTCCTGGTTTTCAGCTGTAGAAAAATCAGCCTTAGGTTGTTCAGAGACTATATTAGGCTGCACAAAAACCATCCAGCGTCCTTGTCAGAAAAAATCAGCCTGAGTCGCAGCTGACAGAATGCAGAGCTTGCAGTGCACCTAGGACTGTTTAAAAACATCTGAACAGCTACAGAAGCCTCCTGCAGGAAGAAAACATCTTTCTCCCAGGATGGCAGAGGGGTTAAAATTTATTAAAAAGCATGATCTAAATCGGGGAGGGCTGGGGGGGAGGGGGGGGCAAATGATTTCCAGAAACTTTTTTCCCCAGCCGTTTTCAGGGCACGAAACGAAGTCGTTCTCATTAGAGCTTCAGTGGTTATCAGTAACCCATAAGCCTTGTTTTGCTGGCTGCTTACTGGTGCATTTAATAAAATAAAGATCACTCAGTGGTGCCGTGGGCAGCATGCAAGGTGATAGCCATATTTGCTTACTGTAAATACAAGAGAAAATCACACACAAACCGGCTGTAGTTTTGACAAGTATTAAGATCGCTCTTTACATCTGTACTTCTGTACCCAAGTGCAATTAGTTTTCCTCGCACAAGGATTTCTGTTTATCTTATTCTGCCTGATTACTTGAGTATAATCGCACCGTTTGCTTCACTGCTCCTGGTAGTAAGCTCCAGCTTAAAAAGGGGAGGATGAGTGTGTGTAAATATACAGAATTCTGCTCTAAGACTCTAATTTATGCATCTGGATGACAGCGTTTTCTTAATTTTTTATTTTTTTTTATTAATTTTTTTTTCCCCCCTCCTTCACTCTTTCTTTCCACAAGGTTTGGTTCATGTGCATCAGATTCCTCGGCTTAATAGCTTGATCTGTGATGTGTCAGACACGAAGGACCTTGCTTTTAGATTAAAAAGGAAGCTGTTCACCATTGAGGTAAGAGAAACGTCGTTTCGCTGTTTGGAAAACCCAAAAGGTGGAGCTAATCCCGCCTCTTATGTTTCGTTTTGTGAAATCCATAAAATATGCATCAGATGTTGTAAATTCATTTCGTTTTCTGGTTTTTGCTGTTCAGGAGGGTTTTCTGGAAAGCTGTGATATGCCTCCTGATTAAAAATGTCTCATTTGCTGCACTAAACCGGTCTGTTATAAATAGTTTATTTTGGTTTAAAATGTACATAGAAAGTAGGCCACAACCTTCAATAACAAAGCGTGACATGTTTCTAAGGATGTCAGGAGCATATTTAATTAAATGTTAATGACTTGCTCTTACTTGTGTTAGTGGGTGGGAAAGTAGCTACATGTTATTACCCCAGTGGAGGGATTTTAATGTATGATGTTGCCTAAAATTGTGTGTGGTATGAGGGATAAGTGTCCTTATCAGTATTCAGAAACCATTTTCTTTGCATTACTGAAATCACCTTTCGCTCTTTTATGTCATTTTAAACACAGTATCATTTACACTAATGTCCTTAAGTAAATTTCCTACTAAATTTAAACTTTTTTCTGTGACCTTTATGCAGACAGTCCTGATAGAAGGCAGTAATACAAAAGATGTATTTCATTTTAATCTTGCTAAAGAGCAAATGAACATAGCACTATTAAGCAATTAGAGCTGATGTATTTATTAACCAAGTAACGCTTAGAGATGGGAGATGGCTTTTGGGGTGATGTGATAGTCATTGGTACAGTCTGGGCAAATTTTTTTTTTTGTAACAAAGACATAAAACAGCCAAGCATCCCTGACAAACCATTTTGTTTAATCTCTTTTCAAATGAAAAGCTCTTAAGCAGGCCACTTGTCTTAACTGCTTGAAACCATAAAAAGAGAGAATTGCCACCAATAAATTAGCATATTTTTTACTCCATCACCAAATGCTGGTCAATGTGGCTTGGCACTGCTTTGGTGTTTGGGACTTCACCCTTAAGTGACCACTTTGGCCCTTATTTGACCCTCTGCCCTTTTTAGCTGGCCACTTGATAAGGTAACTTAAGGGTTCTCTCTCTTCACTGCCCCCTCCCCTTCACAATTGCAAGTAGCCCTAACTTATAAATCATTGAAAGGGCCCTATCAAGTGACAAATTAAGGTGCCCTCCTCCTAATTAATGGTCATCAATGTCTTTAATTATCTAATCCTATTGAGAGTAGTTAATAGTTAATCAGGCAGCCAGTTCTTCTCCCAGGTCATCTCTGCATGAGTGCCAGAAGTTTCTCAACTAGAGGTATCCTCTTCAGAAGCCACTTAAAGGCAAAGACATGAAGGAGGGCTTTTTTTTTTTCCCCCAAGACAATTCCTTTAGAATGTTTGTCACTTTCCAGAGAATGTGGTTGGTGAAACCAGGCTTTGTGAGGTATTAAAGCCTTTTAACAGCTGCTTTTGAGCGGTACAGTAGGAACAAAACCCTTAATAGTCTGTGTTTGGTTTTAAAATACAAATGTTCTTAGTGTTTTCAGAAGTGCAGAGAAGCGTGCACCCTCATTCCACAGCGTAGTAAATTCTCATTTATTGTAGCTATGGATCAGAATATTTGGTTTTTTTTTTTTCCCATCAACACGAATCCTGACTCGGAGTACAATTTTTTTCCGTCAGACGAATTTGAGATTCTAATTTGTAACGTAATTTGGAAGAATGAAAAACACCTTTAGCAGGAAGCTCTGTAAAAAAGAATTGAATTAGCCATGGGACACTGGGAACAGGAGCGTGGTGCAACTCTTGAAACAACCTGTTGCCCCAGACATGGGTAGATGATGCACTTGTACAATTTCTCCCTTCATTGCTCAGCTGCAGCCCCTTTTGAGTAATTTCAGCTTTTGTTAGAGATACGCTTTCTGTAAGCTGAGCTGACACAAACTAGCCCCTTTTGAACATGTTGGATCACTGTCCTACAGTGATCTTCCTGTACACGTTTCACTAATCTATAGTACATATGTTTTTCTTCCTCATACTGCTAGGGAAAGCAGGCTGCAGCAATAAGATCAGTAACAAAATGGGAACTGAGTTAAGGGAAAGCTGATTTAAGAAAGGGTGGGTATACAGTCTTCTAAAACATGTTTCTGAAGTTAGAATGGGATGCATCAGCAGTCAGTTTTGGTTCTGGGGGTAAGAACGAACAGTGTGCATTGCAAGCAACAGTGTGCTTTATACAAAGTACAACTAAGCTTGTGACTTTAGTAGGTAGTTTAAATGTGAAATGAAAACTTACATTTAATACCTTAAAGGCTTTGGAAAGATTCTGCTCAGTTATGTACAGAATTTAGGGTAAAAATACTGACCTCAACTTGAAATGCCACTTCAAAATCAAATTACATGAGAAAAGTTCAAAATACAAAACCTGTGATTAATGGCAAAATTTCTTCAAAAAGGGTTTTCATTTTTTTTTAGCGGTTTAAAATAAGAGCATGGGACATGGATTTTCTCATCTCTGGATTGCTCACCAGTTAAATAACTCTTTATAGTGTGGCCCTCATAGGTGAAAAACTTTGGATGTCAAACCCATTTTATTAGATTTCAGTTCTGTGGGAGGGACTCCACCTCTTTGTAGTCTGCAGAACCATTTAACTGGTTTAGTTTTTCTCATATGTTCTTCATCAAAATAAGATTGACTGAAATGTTTTCTAAAGGGATTTTTTTTTTTTCATTCAGGGTGAAAACATTTTTTTTGGTGAATATTTATGAGTGTTCATTTTCCATTTAGAAATTGTGAAGCAGAACTTTTCCAGGAAAGCTTGTGTGTTTATCCTGAAAGGTGCAGTAGCTATGTGGAGTTTTCCCAAATCTTCACACGTTAGTTTACCAGCAATACACTATTACAGGCTATATTATCAGAGATCTATCTTATGTGCATACCACTTTAAAGGACACAATTTTGAAGTTAGCCTGTCTAATCCTATTTCTTCCCACTTTGGAATCTTAATTAGAAGGAGATAAAAACCATCATTTGACTAAATTATTGTCTTGAATCTGTAGCAAAAAAGGTATAATCCGCAATTGGGCCAATTAGTGTACCCCATAGTTAGCTATGCTGAGGCAGGAAACTTGATTAGATCTGACACCAGCCTAGTTCCCACTGTTGTTTTGCCAGGTATGATGGTCAGACTTCAAAGGGCTTGAGGCATCAGCAGGGCAAGGTTTGGAGGCCAGCTTAGGTCCGGTCGTTAATCTCCCTGCTAAAACCACAGCAGCCCTCGCACAAAACAAGCTTACACGACACAATCATGCGGTATTAAAGTTTGGGTTGAGTCATGCCAATTTGCCTTTGATTTTCTGATGATTGACTAAAAGATGGCTACATGACTAGACACATACTGAAAGTTTACTGATTAGGTAAGTTCCCCAAATATTTGAAATATTTTTTGATTTCTCGGCTAAGCGATATGACAGCACGTTCGTCTTAACGAAACTTTTCGGCGGAGTTGTCCTCCAAGTACTTTTTCTGCTTTCTTTGTGGCACTCGATGTAACTTTTATCAACATTTGATAAATCTTAGTGCGAGCGTTGTGTTCGTAGTTTCGTTTCATAGAACTTTATCTTTGTTGTTCCAAAGCCTCCTGTGTCAAGACTGAGGGAATCTGTGCCTAAATTTGGTGTTTTCTCTCCCCCACATTTCTAAGGAAACATTGTTTCTTATTTAGGTGCGTCTTTCTCATTTAAGCACGTTTACAATTCCTGGCAAAAAGGGTATTTTCCTTAATTATTTTCCACCTCACCACGAGCAAAGCGCTGTTCCACGGCTGCGATTACATAAGTGTTCCTTTCTTTTGCAGTCTGATTTGTTCAAATATTGCAGTAACAGTGACATGTTTCCATTCTGAGAAAAGCCTAAGGCTGCTTTAGTATTATTCCAAATGATTGAAATTGCCATCTTGCTGACTTTCCCTTGGGCAGCTTAAGGCCTGTTTACTTTTGTATTTGTTTCACATGTTCCCTCTGAGTTTGGCTGGCAGGACATCATTACCTGGCTTGACAAGACAGTTGGAGAAGATTCATATTTGATTAACTCCCTTTGTTATTGTCTGGACAACACAAAGCCCTGAAATTGTCTATTTAAAGTTAAATCTCCTGATAAATTCAGATAAATGCTTGCAAAGAGGAAAGTTTGTGAGGTTGGGGTTTTTTAACTTCTTAGTTTTGCTTCATTTTTAAGTGGTTTTCTAGCAGTATAGAGAATAAGCTTTCTCCTACGAGTTTTTATATTTTAGTTTGTCTAATAAATAGTTGTGAACATTTATTTTTTTTTTTTAATCAATGCACAAGTCAGAGCCAGCTAGTATTTTCTTTGCAGTAGATATATAACACCTCTTCAACCCAGAATAAAAATCTTTTAAAAGCCAGCTCAGTTCGAAACCAGGTGTCATCTACGATACAGAGAATTACCACACAGCAAAAACAAGTTCCCAGAGTTTAATGTACGAGTTCAAGAGTTTCTTTTCTGAGAGGTGTTTCCTAACAGGAGAAGTAAGTCAGAATTAGAGGAGTGCTGTGTGGCAGGAAAGTGGTTTCTCGGTGCCAGGCAGGTACAATATGGTGCTAAGGAGCACACCACAGTGCATTTTTCCCAGTGGCAATTGCCAGAGTAAAAGGTTGTGGCTTTGCAAGGAAATGTAATCACAGAACCCGGTAAGGTAGTCTGTGTAGAATTAAAAATGAATGTATGATTCCAGAGGCATTAAAATAATACCCTGTCTTCATTTAGCAGTAAAGGACTGTAAGAAAATTAATGATGACCAAAAGAAAATGTAATTGCAACTCCAGGTGCTCATGTCTGTTATGTGTCCAACACTGGTATTTGAAAGAAGACTTAAGATGGTGATTTGGTCAATTAAAAACAGAGAATACATCTTAGATAGCTTCCATCTGAAATCTCTGTATTTCTACCTTTTTTTTTTTTTTTTCCAGTCTTTCTCTTTTCACTGCTTATTTTATACAGACTGCACTG